CCCCAAAACCCCAAAACCCCAAAACCCCAAAACCCCATAAGACTTTAAGATATAGTAAGACTGGTATTTGATACGAACTCTTAAACTTAGATTTAATTTTTAATTATGATTGATTGTATATAAAGTGCGATCTATCTATCTATTAGTGGAGACGATAGACCCTTGAGAAGATTAGCTATGTATAGAAAGTATTATTTTGATTCAGAAAATGATGCATTTATTTTATTTAGAGATCTCCTCTTCCTCTTTCGATCTCTTTTTTATTTAAGCAGCTGCGAGCAATTATTTGGAATTCTATAAATGAATGAATTCAATATTATATTATTTTACCTTGTTTGTTCTACCCCCCTCAGTGAAAAAGATTTTTTATCCCAATATAAACTCATTTTCTTCATTTTCAGTATCTGAACCAGAAGAATTTGGGTCTATGTGATTCTTCCCACTCTTCATCATCTTTTTCAAGGCTTCGATATATCTTTCATTGGGATTCAGAGGAGGCCTTTGATGCATTAAGTACTAATTATCTCTTCTAACATTAGATTAAACTCTTCTTTGATTATTGTAGGCTGGTTCAGTCTCACAGTATATTAGATTCTGGTTTTTATTTAATTTTTATTTTGAAATGTTACTGCTAATTTATTATTGATAGACATGAGGCTAGCAATCAGGGGCAGTTGATATTCCTGAAATCTATGTTGTTTATATTTAAGGGTTTTATCTTTAATTATAATATACCCCAGATATTGCTTCTGCATGCTACTTATCAAACTTAGATACCTTATTTTGAGAATTTTTGCTCATGTCTATATAACCCTGATTTTAGTAAATTGGCTCCTGATTAAGATACTAATTATTATATTATCTTGCTTTTTATACTAAAGAACTAGTAGCTCTGTTAGAACTAGCTTGTCTTGATGATGTCTATTATTGCTATTGATTAATTGATGTATTTTTAGGGGTTGCTTTCTTCTAATGAAGGCCAATGCCACCCTCAACATAGACAATGCCTTCGTTTATTTCATTAAAGTCAATAAAATCATTTATTGTTAGGATATGATTGTTGGGATCAGTGTTGAGAGTCTGCATTTACATTTGATTTAAAACTATTGAAGGATTAGAAGAGTTTGCTTTATTTTTGTAGAAATCTCTTAAAATCTTTTGTTATTCTATGTTAGAGTTTAGACTCTCTTGAGATCTTTAATTGTTTAATTATAGGTTGTATGACACTGGATCTGTATGAAGTCTCTTACAAGATTCCTCATTTATCAAACTTAATTGAGTTTTTAGATTTGAAGTACCTTAAATAGATTGCTAGTTTGTGATACCTTGATTTGATACAATACTTTAAAATTCAGATCTATTATTAGAGTTACTATACATTGGTGAATGCTGAGGCATCAAACTTTGGTTGTAGCTTACTATTGAACTACCAAATGACACTTAAAGCTATCTAGGATTTGATTAAAGTTAGTATTTATTAGTATTGTCATAAGTGTTTCCATCAGTATTTAGCCTGGCATGAGGATCATATTCAATTGAATGTGGTATATTTTGGTTTTTTCTAACTCTTGTAGAAGTTGACATTATTTGGGGTCTCTATGGCTGTCTGTGCTAAAATTAGATTTGATCAGTAGATTATCGGAATTAGCTGTAAGCATTGAATTTAGTATTTGCCGAATGCATTCCCTCATGATACTAGTTGTTTTATCTCATTTTAGGGGATTAATTCGAAGTTTATTATTAATTTTACCCTTTAAACTATGTTTATTTCCTTTCCACGCTATAACACTAGTCGTTTTAAGTCATAATCGGCTAAATGAAGCTCTCATCATAAGAATTACTTCCCACTATATGATATACATTTGGCTTATCAATATGAGTGAAAACTAAAGGTTTATTTTGAGCTTTTTCTTGAATTTATTTGAATTATCGTGAAAGCCTAGTTGAAACTTCTTTCATATTTAGATCATCTTCATCACCATTTTTATTTGAAACTAATTTTTTATTTTTTCTTGGACTCTTATTAAATTCTGATGTTTTTAGAACTGAAGATAGTCCTTTGAAAATAGGAGCTTATCTAATATTTTTTATCTACTATTCTGAAAGACCTACTTTAGTCTTTGATTTCCTTGGATTAGGAGTTATGTGTTTAAGAGGCTGATTGATGTCCTTATTATTTCTTATATTAGAATTTTCCTTATCTGAGTTTTTACTTTCACTTGAGGAGATTTCATTTTCAAGCTGCTTCGCCTAATTACTTGATTCATGTTCATCTATTAAAGAGCAATTTTCACTATGCTATTCTGAGACCTTCACCAAAGAAATGTTATTGGTATTAGTAGCTGATTGATCAGCTGTATTCTACTGTTTCTAGGAAATTATCATCGTATCTCTAATTGACTGAGAATGTGAATTGCTTCTATTTTGAATCTCTGCTCGGCTTTTTTGAATTACACTAATAGACTGCATCATAATCTATTAGTTTCTATTCGTCCTTTGCTAGGAGTTGGTTTGTGATTGATTATCACTTTGTATTATACTCTTTCTACTGATTTGATATATTGACTAGTTATTGGTTCTTTTCATTTTGTCTTTCATAGGTATTGGAGGAAGATTTTTAGCAGAAAACAGTTAAGATTATTTATTTGAATCTATAGACGCTCGAGGATCTATAACTTCATTCTATTTTTGTACAAATGTATGCTGACTATATATGTTATTACTCTTCTTCTGCATATTTTAATTCTATTGTGGGTTTTTATTACGTAAGTTATGAAGCTAAGAAGAATTGCTATTATTTTTATTATTGTCAACTTTAGAATTATTTTAATGCAAATTATATTCTTATTGTTTTATGCCTCCAATACTTTTGCTTTGATTTACAGCAATATTTTATTGCAATTATCTGCTATTCATTGCAAAGTCACTTATTACTTTGTTTTGACTCTATACTATGCTTATATGAAATGGATTTGCACCAGGAGTTTCTTCATTCATTGAGGAGAATGATGACTCGGTAAGCTAATTAGTTCCTTCCTCAGAATAAAATTGGCTGCTTTGACTTTCCTCTATGATTCTTCCATTTATTCCACTCAACTGCTATATTCCTTTATTCGGGATGTAGTCGGCATGATGTAAAGATATCAGATTAGAGGTAGTTTGGTTTTTGGGAACACCTTTTTTCTGTATGATATTTGTAGGGGATGTAAAATTTGAGTTGCGCTTTGACTAACCCTGCTTATTCATTTTAATATAATACACTCAATATTATTTCATAAAATCGTTAATCAATGAAAAAATCTGATCCATGGGGTTTTGGGGTTTTGGGGTTTTGGGGTTTTGGGG